TGTGTGTGTGTGTGTGTGTGTGTGTGTGTGTGTGTGTGTGTGTGTGTTTCTGCCAGCCTCTCATCCATCTTTCTTTTTCGCTTTCAACTGTTTCCCGCTCTTAGTTTTTCGGGCTTCTTTCTCGAAATCAATTCCTTTTTTTCTTTTTAATCTTCCCACCTCTAGTAAAGCTGTATACACTTATAATATCAACCAACCACGTCCATGTTTCTCTCCTTATTGTTTCTGTAGAGTGTCTCCGCTGCAGAAGTCTGAGATTGTGGACATGGTGAAGAAACACGTGAAGGCCATCACGCTGGCGATCGGCGACGGTGCAAACGACGTGGGCATGATTCAGACGGCTCACGTCGGAGTGGGGATTAGCGGCAACGAGGGCATGCAGGCCACCAACTCTTCCGACTACTCCATAGCACAGGTGGGATGCAGACACAGCATGGAGACATGCTTGGTCAGCGTCATGCAGATATGTTACAACCTTTTTATGGACGTAGATAATGGATTCATGCCTGGTTGTCCACCCTGCTCAAGTGTCTTAAGGCAAGACACTGAATCCTTACCTGCTCACTCTACAGCTGATGCTGATCTCTGACCTCCCTGGAGGAAGACTTTACTTACAGGGTCACTCAAGTATCATGTTGTCAATACAAACCAACGGCTCATAATAGTTTATGTTCTTACAATAAAATAAAAAAGTCCAGAAAGTTTACACGAAAATCAAAACGTTTGTATCCTCTTAGTGGTGTCAGAAATAGTTTATTTTCATTTTTTAATGCTATAATTTAAACAATTTCTTGGAAAGAGTAATACTTGAATTCATTTTATTCAGCTGGAGGCATTTGTTTCCTATAATTTCTCAAATCCAGCTCCATTAGTGCTGAGAAGATTGCTCGATTATTCGATTTCTTGATTGACAGGAAATTATTGATTGTTGTTTTTATCATTTCAGTCAAACCTTCTCTTGTGAATTTAATATCTTAAGATGTTGTGCTGTTGGTCAGACAAAAAAGCAGATTGATTATGTCCTTATAAGTAGCAGGAAATGTGATTTTCACTATTTCCAGATGTTTTATAGACTAAAGAAATAATCGATAAATTGAAAAACGATTATTTGCAACCCTATTTCCGATTATCTGTGTGACCCATAATAACAACTCAATGACATGTGAACAGTCTCGTCTTTTCTGTTTCTGTCTCACACAAACGCATTCTGTCACTTTCACTGTTTGGGTTGTTTATCTTTTAGCCTCTCATCTTGCACAACTTATCTGTATTAGTGGGTTCTCCTCTTGCTTCAACTTTCATGTCTCCCAACCCCATTCTTAATCATCTCTATGTTCCCTTTCCATCTCAAATGTTTATTCTGTCTTCTAATTATAGTAATAAGTCTCTCCCTCCTCCTCTCTTTCTTTTCCATGATTGGTAGTTCTCCTACCTAGAGAAGCTGCTATTGGTCCACGGGGCGTGGAGCTACAACCGTGTCACCAAGTGCATCCTCTACTGTTTCTATAAGAATGTGGTCCTCTACATTATAGAGGTAAGAGCACACCCTCCCTGTTTCTCACACACACACACAGTTACATTAACAGAGACGTTCTGCAGCTGTTTGTCGACATGGCTGACAGTGATGGACGAGGTGCCCTTCTGGTGTCTGCTTTCTGTCTCTTTTGCACACACACACATATGCTAAGAAAAAAACTTGTGTTTAGATCAGCAGTGACGAGACCTTGGCTCCAAAGGTCGACAGCTTTGTGTGTGTGTGTGGTGTGTGAGATGAAGGTGCACACCGCCGCCCTGGCCTGCCTGTTATGAGGGGTATTTGTCAGCTGTGCTCCACCCCTCTGTCTCACATTAAGGATGCCAGCAGGTGCAGGTCCTCATGGGAGCCTACTGTCCCGCTCACACCACCACTCTGTGCCTGTGTGCGTGTGTGTATATGTGTGTGTTTCCATAATTATCTCACATGATTGGCTCCCCTGCAGGGCACTCTAGGCCAAAGGTCAGAGACTGTCTCTGTCCACTTAGTGAAGACAGAATAAGGGGGACGGATGTGTGTGTGTGTGTGTGTGTGTGTGTGTGTGTGTGTGTGTGTGTGTGTGTGTGTGTGTGTTTTTACATATCCGACCTCACCCCTAGGCTTTATGCTCCACTATATGTCCCAGGAATGCCACAACTCCCACCACCGGCCCCAAACATTTTCTCTATCTGCCGTCAGATCAGCCTACGTGTGTGTGTGTGTGTGTGTGTGTGAGAGAGTGTGAGTGAGTGAAGGCGTTAAGGAAGGTTTCCCCTGGGCTAGTATTATTGTTAGCTCTTGTATTTCTAAAAATGACCATAATTCCCATCAATCCCACTGCTGTCTGTCATCATTCAGGTGTTCCAGGTACAATCACTCAAACATTGTTCACACAGTACAAACAGCGTTAACAGCTTTAGACATTTTGTCACACACTACAAACGATTGTAGACAAACCAAGTGAGAGTTTCCACAACTTTCTAAATTGGTAAATCAATACAATAGTATTTATAATCTACATCTACAGAGAGTACTATTTTCCAGATTCTTGACTTGAATTCAGCAATAGAAATCACACATGAGGAAGTTTAAAAATGAAACGATTTTGTAATATAAAGGTGTTTTTGTTGTTGTTGTTCTGGCCCATCATAAACTATGATAGACCTTCATTCTCATACCTGAATCTTACCTGATGAAGGTCTTTCAACTGAAACAAAAGGGAGTAAGAGTGACGGTGTAAAGTACAAAATGTTCTCCTGAAGTCATTTTACTATCAGTACCTCCCGATGTCAGATGTCTGGTATTGTTCCTCTCATCCTTCTCTTTGTGTCCCAGCTCTGGTTCGCCTTTGTGAATGGGTTCTCTGGACAGATCCTCTTTGAGCGCTGGTGTATCGGCCTCTACAATGTGGTGAGTACCTCACTGCCTCTCAAACTGTCTCACTATTTTCCATTTCTCCACTCTCTCTCTCTCTCAGTCTCCCCCCCCCCCCCCCCCTGTTTTTCTTGTTATTAAGTTCACGTCAAGTGCCGTCTCTCGTTGTCTTCTTATCTCTCAATTAATCTCATTCCACTTTGTCTTCTCATCTCTGCTCTTTCCGAATTCCACAAACGTTTGCATGCGTGGGTGTGTGTGTGCGTGCGTGTGTGCGTGCGTGTGTGTGTGTGTGTGTGTGTGTGTGTGTGTGTGTGTGTGTGTGTGTGTGTGAGAGGTTTTTTTCTGTGTTTTGAGGACTGCTTTGTGTACTTTTAAAACATTGTGGGATTCCATAAATGCCGCCGCTGATATGAACACTGATTGCTGAGCTAGTCGCAGTATGTTTACATGTACACACACGCTGCTCTGTCATTATGTGTTTAAATGGCCGTGTCTTCTGTGTGTGGTGCAGATATTTACCGCGCTGCCCCCGTTCACTCTGGGGATATGTGACCGTCCGTGCAGCCAGCAGAACATGCTCCGCTTCCCACAGCTATACCGAATCACCCAGAATGCCGAGGGCTTCAACACCAAGGTACACACACACACACACACACACACACACCATGGGCTGCTAAGGTACCTGCTCTGCATCTGACTCGTCATGTCTGGTGGCTCGCTGTGAGGTTGACAAGTGGTGCCTGCTGCTTGTTTGGGACTCCAGCGAGTAAATAAGAGTGGCATGGAGGCCGGGATGTTTCCAGGGCAACCTCTAATGAGATTCATAGGGCCAGAATAAGGAAGTCTTTCATTTTAGAGGGTACACTAGGAGGGCACTTCTGATGGCAGGAACACAGTGGAAGTTGTGTGTTACTGTGAGGAATTGCTGTTTTTGTATGTGTGTGGGGGCATATACAGTATGTGCTTTGGCATTAGTCTTCACTCACTCGTTTTCCACTCTTTTCTCCTCTCTCTCTCTTTCTCTCTCTCTCTCTCTTTCTCTGGTGTTCTCTCTCTCTCTCTCTCTCTCTCTCTCTCTCTCTCTCTCTCTCTCTGTTTTCCAGGTGTTTTGGGGTACCTGTATCAATGCACTGATTCATTCAGTTATTCTCTTTTGGTTTCCACTCAAAATGTTAGAGCATGGTAAGTGACATGCCCGAGTAACTTTATATTCAGAAATCTGGCTGTTAAGACTTTGTCATGAGGTCTGTGTGTGTGTGTGTGTGTGTGTGTGGGTGTGTTCCCCACAGACTCTCCGTTCAGTGACGGTCAGGGAAACGACTACTTGTTTGTTGGGAACATGGTCTACACAGTAAGCATCTTACATGTATTTTCAGTGTTTATGTGTCTTTTTGTTTGTATTCAGTTTTTAATATCTGTGTCTTTTGGCGTGCAGATTCATTACATATGCACAGTATTTGTGTACACACCAGCGCTGTGCTGCTTCCCCCGAGCCGTTACGAGTCTCCACTAAATCTAGTCTCGTCTAGCCAGTCTGTCTCCTCTCCACACTCATCCATCTCCTCTCCCTATTCACTTCTCCATCTCACACTCTCGATATCAGTTTACTCCCCACAGTCTTGTGTGAAAGTCCGTGGTTTCTATTTGTTGTGTTATGTGTGTGTGTGTGTGTTATGTGTGTGTGTGTGTGTGTGTGTGTATGTGTAGACTACACAGGCCTGTGGGGGTCCTGAGTATTTAAACGGACATTTCTTAGTTTACTGTATAACATTAATGTTTATTATCTCCACAGTCGCCAGTGAATTAATCCTGTTTCTCTGTTGTTTTATTTGCTCTCCCTCTGCCGTGTGTGTGTGTGTGTGTGTGTGTGTGTGTGTGTGTGTGTGTAGTATGTGGTAGTTACAGTATGTCTGAAAGCTGGAATGGAGACCACCGCTTGGACCAAGGTAAGAGCATTAACACTCTCTAATACTCCACACCACGTGTGCTGTATTTTACTCAATCGTTGATAAATAAATAAAGGGG